GAGTCTCACTCCGTCGCCCAGACTGGAGTGCAGTGGCCGCTCCCGGCCACCGCAGCCTCGACCTGCTGGGCTCCGGCGATCCTTCCGCCTCAGCCTTCCAAGTAACTGGAGCTACAGGCGCGCACTACCACACCCCGCTAATTTTTTGATTTATTGTAGAGATGAGGTCTCGCCAAGTTGCCCAGGCGGGTCTCGAACCCACGGGCTCAGGCAATCCACTCACCTTAGCCTCCCAAAGTGCTGGGATTACCGGCGGAGCCACCGAGCCCGGCTAATGAGTAAATTAATGAGACCACAACTGTGCCTTCAAGGAGCTCACTGTTGCACTCCCATTTCACAGATGGGTAAACTGAGTCTCAAAAAGAGAACATGATTTCCCTAATGCCATGCTTCAGTGGCAAAGCTGGGACAGAAACCCTGTAGGGCTACTTGCCTTCTGGGGCTAAGGAGGGGGAGAGCGCCTACGAGCTCTCATGGGCTTTCTGAAAACATCCTCATCACATTCTACTGGCTTGTCTCCCAGGAGTCTGCTCCCATTGCTGCCTGTGTCCCCGCCTCTACTCTGCCGCCATGATCGCATCTCTGTTGCTAAGTGTGCTGATGGTCCCCTGTGTCGGTGAGTCCTGTACGCCACACCCTACAATTTAGCACATAACTCCTGACTGTGAACACCGGGAGGCGCTGTCCACTTTCATCTGATTTGCTTATTAGTACTTTTTTGCTTATTAATACTTCATCACTCTGCTGAGTGATGGAGATCAGACATGCAGATACACTATAGGTTAAATTCAGTTGATATCTTTGAGCACTCCGTACGGTCCATGAAAGTGTGGGGAGGGAGAGAGTGCAGCGAAAAGTGAGGAGGCCAACCATAGCCTCTCTTCACCCAAGAGCGCATCCCTGTTCTTTTTTGGCCATGGGCTGCTGCTCCTGTTGTGCTGACCTCCTTGGAGCAGGTTGGCCTTCTTGGCGTAAGCAGTACTCCCTTTCCCTTTCAGGTGTGCCTGGTATTAGTGGGCAAACACTGCCATCTCCATACTCTGAAGTGAGTCCCATCCCACCAAAACCCAAAGGCATCTCAGCAAGACCCTGGGTGCCCTGGGATGGTAATTTCAGCTTCATCTGGAGTCTTGGCTAGGATGCAGAGGCTTCTGGCCCATTCCCTGTTTTGTCTCTTGCTTGCATAATTATATAGCTCTCAAGTCTCTGGCATTGACGGCTCTTTATATCTGAGCACTGATTTCCTTCTCTCCTCATATGCAGGTAAAACCTGGACTTACACTAACCCTCCCCTCTCTGAGATTTCCTTCCAAGCAGCCATGATATGGTGAGGCTCTGTGAACTCACACAAACTCTGTGATAACCTGCCTCCACCATGACCCAGATTCGTGAACAACACAAGAGTTTACAGGTGACCCAGAAATTTGTAAGTTGAAAATTACAGAACGACCATTTGTCATAAGACTCAAAATCTCTCCTTCAGACCCAGATCCCCCCAAATGTCGTCCCAGCCCTTTCCTTCAAGACAGGTTGGATCAACCACTTGTTGCTGGGCCTCTGTTGCTTCTTTACTTCCTTTGTATATATTTTTTCCTGATTAAAATATTCGTCAGCCAGGCATGGTGGTTCAGGCCTATAATCCCAGCACTTTGGGAGGCCGCAGCAGGAGGACTGCTGGAGCAGAAGTTTGAGACCAGCCTAGGCAACACAGCAAGACTTCATCTTTAGAAAAAATAAAAAAAAATTAGCTGGGCATGGTAGAGCTTGTAGTCCCAGCTACTCTGGAGGCTGAGGTGGGAGGGTAGCCTAAGCATAGGAGGTTGAGGCTGAGGTGAGTTATGATCGTGTCATTGCATTCCAGCCTGAGTGACAAGAGTGAGAACTTGACTCAATGTCAGAATTTGAGACTCCATTGCCAGAGCAGTTTTACCCAGATCTCAACTCAACTTGATCAGATTCCAGCTATGATATTGACTTACCTCATTTTTGGATTAAAAAAATGTGAAATATTCTAAAGTTCTTCACTTCCCTCTCAATTTTTTTCTTTTAAATGAGATCTTACTTATCAAAACCCATTTTCCCAGGTTTTGAAGATTTTTTTCTTCTGTAACTAAGATTTTCCTCTTTAGAAAAAACTCTCCTTTGGGTCAAAACAGCTTCTTCAACATCCTTTTCCATGTGTCTTTAATTTTTTTAATTTTTCTATAAAATTGAAATAATTAAACATTTTTCTCTTTGTTTTTCTTGCTTTATTTCTTTTTTCTCTTTTATTAGTTTTCTACTGCATAGTGATAATAAAAATGATAATAATAGCTCCATGATTATAAAATATTACAAACATTTTTGGTATGTCCTGAGAGATTTATTCTCAAACACAAACACCTAGCATTCAAAAAGTTATAGTCATAGAAAGTTCAAGTGCAATCATATACGTTTACATACGAATTGACAATTGCTGTATCTGCAGCCCCAATTTTGTAGGGGTGAGTGTGTGACCACCACCAAGATAAGACTGTTTGCCCTACAAATTCACCAATTCTGGGTCCAGACACTGCAGCAGGAAAGTTCTGTTATCCAGGCTTCTGCCTCAAAGAAGAAGGACTAGTGTGTGAGTCTCAGTCTTCCTAGAAACAGATGCCAAGTTGATCAAGTGTGCAAAGATGTCATTAGAGGAAACATCTGTTGGTGGGGAGGGACAAAGGTGAGGCTGCAAACAGGAAAGACTGGGAGACCCTCGGACAGTTCTGCAAATAAAGGAGAGACAGTCAGAGAAGAGGTGTATGTGTCCTAGACTGCCGCTGGGTCCAAGGGAAGTCTGGAAAGGCCAACCAAGAGGGACTGGTCAGAGGAGTCCTGCGTCTCCCAACCCACCGTCATGAACCTGCCTGCTCTGGGTCATTGGCTGGAAGCAGCCATGGGGGGGTGGGGACAAAGCCTCTGTGCAAACCCTGCCTTGGACGCCTGGGCATAGCCATGGGTCCTTGGTCACTTATGCCTCCCATATCTGGAGTTCTGTGAGGGGCCTTCTCGGGGCTGCCTAAGTGGCAATCTGGACTGATGCAAGATGATGCTTTGCTTGTGTTGACCACTAGGAAGCTCTTGGCACATGGCAAGTTCTCTCCAGGTATTTCCAGCTGCAGGCCTGAAAGCAGCCTCCAGGTGAGCTTCCTCAACGCAGCCAGGGACAGGGGCTCCCCTTCCGTTCCCTTCCCTCATAGCCAGCTCATGACTTCCAAGGGCAGGACTCGCCGGTGGGCTGGCAGTCCAATTTGTGTGAGGAAAGAGAGATCCCGCGGACCTCCTACCTACTGCATATGCCCCTTTATCCCAGAGTTTTGTCCTGGAATTTATCCCATAATTCCCATCACACAGTCATCTTCCCGTCACCTCCTGTGGGTTCCTTTCTTTCTAGAACTTCTGGGAAGGAAGAGGCACAAAAAGGTAGACTTCATGCATTCCTGGTTGATCTTCTGGGTAGAATGCCAAATACTGTGAAACCCAAATCACTAAGGGACCTTAACATGCCACTATCTAAGGAGGGTGTCTTCTAAGTTTGCTTGAAGTTGACCAGACTAGGATTCCATGATTCTAGAAAGCCATCACTCACTTTCCATTTGATCATGTAGTTCAACTACTGTATGTTCAGTCCTTTATTAAACAGATCTCAATTGAACTTGTGATCTCTCTCATACAGATATGTTACATCTATTACACAGAGGGTGCCAAAAAAAGTATACACATTTTAAGAAAGGAAAAAAAAACTATTAAAATTGTAATACTCAGTATATACCCATCACATTTGATTTCTGCAATGACAAGAGGTGCTTAATGTGATTACCATCAGCGTCCAGACACTACTGATGATGGTGAACTCCTGCAGGATTTGTTGCTGTGTGAATCCACCCAAATCTTTCCTGGTGCACATCACACACCTCAAACTTACACAAATGCATGTGAGTGTTAGGAATATTGGAGATTCTCTTGTGTACTCACGCCTCCATTGCCATTGTACTTCCACAATGTACTCAAATTTCAAATATGACTTCAAAATGAGGTGGAGATGAGAGGATTGCCTGGGCTCAGGGGTTCAAGACCAGGCTGAAGCCGGGCTCGGTGGCTCAGCCTGTAATCCCACGCTTTGGGAGGCTGAGGTGAGTGAATTGCCTGAGCCCGCAGGTTCAAGACCCGCCTGGGCAACTTGGCGAGACCTCATCTCCACAATAAATCAAAAATTAGCCGGGCGTGGTAGCGCATGCCTGTAGTTCTGGCTACTTGGAAGGTTGAGGCGGAAGGATCGCTGGAGCCCAGCAGGTCGAGGCTGCGGTGACTGGGAGCTGCCACTGCACTCCAGTCTGGGTGACAGAGTGAGACTCCAACTCAAGAAGAAAAAAAAAAGACCAGGTTGAGCAACATGGCAAGACCTTGTCTCTACAATAAATAAATAAGTAAATAAGTCAGGCATGATGGTGCATGACTGTAGTTCCAGCTACTTGGAAGGCTGAGGCAGAAGGATCACCTGAACCCAGCAGATCAAGGTTGCAGTGGCTATGATTTTGCTATTGCATTCCAGCTTGGATGACAGAGGGAGACTCCAGCTCACAAAAAAAGAGAAAAAGGTCCTTGCCCACCTCAATTGATGACCATGCTTTTGCCATTTTCTTTGACTGTCCTGCCTGTCACATGGCGATGCTAGCATTCATTTGCTTAACGCCATCTTTGGAGTGAAAATCATACTACTTATTGCTATTATAATTCCCATTAACTTTGAAAAGTAATACATAGACAATATATCTTAAAATGTGTATATATTTTTTGGTACCCCCGTGTATACATATATAATAGATACGCATATTTATATACCTCTACTATATATGCAGTACATATATCATAGTTCTTACCTTCAGTAGGTCCCTAGTTTAGTGGGGGAAACAGCTACATGCACGAATCATGGCAACGTGGGTGACAAGTTAAATGAGAGAAGGACAGTCACAACATTATGCTAGCGCAGGGGTAGCATCCCTAATCTAGTCCAAGTTCGGGGTCAGGTATGGCTTCTTGAACTTTGAGTGAAGCCATACTATGTCAGCAACAGTCAGGCATCCAAAGGCAGTGGGCACAGGGTGACTGAGCCAGGCCCAGGACACAGCAGAAGCACAGGCAGGATGGCAAGGAGTCTCTTAGTATCCAGAAAACCATACACTTTTCAGCACCTCAGGAGTGTCAAGTTCAAGGGAGGGGCTGATTCGGCCAAGGCAGTGGGAGCCAGATCAATGACAGCCTTATAGACCAGGACAGAAGTTAGAGCTTCCTCCATGAGTCTCCGTTTCATTGTCTATGAAATGGTAATGACACGTGCCTCGCAGAACTGGGGATCAGACAAGGAGACACATGCCGAGCCCGAGACTAACTCTGTTCCTAGAACCTTCCCGCCTGGTATGACACATTTACTGAGTCAGTCAGCGTCATTCTAGTGAATGCTGTCCTTATGTTGCCTCTGACTGCCCAGCTCTTTCCCCCCACCACACTGGTGAACTTTGTGAGCGAGCTGATTCAGTCTTCTGGGATATAGCAGCTTAACATCCAGAGTGGCTTTTTAGTTGCTCATGGGAATATGTGGGCGTCAATATCTTGAAATTAAGTAGGAGTACAGGGGAACAAGCACACTTCGTTAATACCTACCAGTAATAAGATCATCTCCCACCCTCCAGAACAGACATTTCAATTATCGGTCACACAGAGGAATACCAGTGCGGTGATTATCAAGGAACAGGCAATATTTCATGGTGGCTGCTTAAGCTTAAGCGGGCAGCTGGTCTTCTTAGCTGTTGATTGTTGTGTTGATTAGCTTCCAAGGCAATGATGCCAAGTGTAAATTGTGCCAGAGTAATTATGTGAGCTCGGTGATAAGGGTTCAAATGAAACTCAAGGTGTGAGTCTCCTTCCCGGTCTGAAAGTCTGAGTTTTGGAAACCACATTCTCCTCAAAGCCTGTAGTTCTCAGGCAGGAGGAAGTTTCCTCTGAGAGCCTGACAGAGGGGATATAGGGCTGGCACTGGACCCTGAGAGACATGAGGTCAGCTCACAACCCGGCCCCTCAGGCCTGGATGGAGTGCAGGGCTCCCCAGACCACTCTACACACACTCAAGGCAACGTACTTTCCTTTTACCCTCAAACTGAAGCCAGCCTAAAGACCTGTTCTGTTTCATTTGTATAATACTTAATTTTAAATTTGAGTCAAGAGTGTAAAATTGGGAGAGTTTACCCAAAAAGTCAGATTTCCAAAATTTTTGAAAATTTGAATTGTGAGACTCCTTTCTCAAGCCCAGAGGCTGAGTCACAACTGCCCCTCTTGCTATAATCTGAGTCTCTCTGGCTCTCCCTATTATTTCCCAGAGCTGGGTCCACTACATGTTTATATTAACATCCTTTCCCTGGAGAAATTTGGGTTCACCGTCTTGCTTAAGTTGAACCTCAATTTTCTCTGTCCTGAACAAGCATCGTTGTTCCCTCCGTATTGGTTCCAGGACCCTCTGAGGATACCATAATTTGCAGATGTTTGATTTTCTTATACACAACGGCATAATACTTGCATAAAGTAGTTGTTGTTTTGTGTTGTTTAGGGAATAATGACAAGAAACAAAAGTCTGGACATGTTCAATATAGAAACAATTATCCATTTTTCCCCCAAATATTTTTGATCTGCAATTGGGTGAATCCATGGATGCAGAACCCAAAGATATGTACAGTCAGTTATACTAAGTATCCCTGAGTTCTATACCTCCTTCTCAGCCACCTCAAGTTGGTCTCCATGGTTTTATTTAATCCACTCAGCATACATTGTTTAAGTTTTTAGGTTGGGAAAGTACCCAGGTGTCAACTCAGGATGGATGGACTGTAGAGGCCAAGACAGGGCATGCACCCAACTATGCTAACCCACTGCAATTCTCCCAGATACAGTGCACTGTTTCACCCCATTATGTTTTGGCCTTTGCCTCTCCACCATATTTTCTGCCTGAAAAACTCCTGGTCCTACCATGACTCTTGAAGTTCTCTCAATACCCCTTAACCACACTCTGTGCCTTGGCTATCCTTCTATCAGCACCCATTGATGTCACCAAGGACAGAGAGACTCAAGTCCTGGTCCTTTGATCTGGAAAGGCCCGGGGTGACTCGTCAGTCTCCAATCCCTCCCATTTTACAGGCGAGAACACGGAGGTGTACAGAGGCTGCCCCTGCCCAGGCCGCAGGGAGTGAGGACCAGAGCTCAGAAAACTTCACCACCTGGGATGACCGGGGCACAGTCCACAGGAGTCCACAGTCCATCTCCCCAAAGGTCTGTCCACAGTAGGCTTGGGGATACCCAGCCCCTGGATAGGACCTGGCCTCACAGCTGTGAGGCACCCGCAGGACATGTAGGTTGGGAGCCCGATCTCCCACCTGCTACAGATGTTTGTGTCCCTGAGATAATTCCATGGTGAGAATGACGAGGTTGATGATGGTGGCCAGGTCCAAGCAGTGCAATTCATCTATTACTGCAGAGGAGAAAGGGGACAGTCAATGGAGACATTGTTAATAATAATAATAATAGTAACGAATGACTGACATAACATCTGAGTGCCTGTAGCACTCCTGCTGATGTTAATCTTCCGATCTTTGCAATTCATTTTTGTGTGAATGCTGCTAGCTCTTTCCAGCCTAAGTTTGGCTGATATTGCTCCAAACCTCCTGTGACTCTCTGGAAACCTCCAGTTTCTGGATGAGTATTCAAGGCTCTTGGGGAGGCAGCCTTACCTAGTGATGAGGCTGGGAAAACATCAAGTATAACCCGCCTGAGGATCTTATGCAATTCAAAACTTGCATCCTTCTTGTTTTCACTGTGTATAAGGGCAGAATTGAGGGAGATGTCTCAGGGTGTTTGAATCCATAACAATTGTTTAGAAGCACGTCAGGGAGTGGAAATGGGTGTTGATCCTACAGTCGTGACACTGGCCTGCTTTTCTGTTCTTCCCAGATGTAAAGGGGTGCTCCTGCTTTAAAGCACCTTTTCTGTTCTCTCAGCAGGTTGACAGTATTTTGAAAAGTGCTCCCTCCTCAATGAATAACCTGGGATATCTGGGAGTTGACGGTCTTTTCCATATTTTTAACCCTCATAATTTTCTTGATCACTTCCATTTCAAGGTTATGGGTTGAGCCGGGCTCGGTGGCTCAGCCTGTAATCCTGCACCTTTGGGAGGCTGAGGTGAGTGGATTGCCTGAGCCCGCGGGTTCGAGACCCACCTGGACAGCGAGACCTCATCTCTACAATAAATCAAAAAATCAGCCGGGCGTGGTAGCGCATAACTGTAGTTCCAGCTACTTGGAAGGCTGAGGCGGAAGGATCGCCAGAGCCCAGCAGGTCGAAGCTGCGGTGGCCGGGAGCGGCCACTGCACTCCAGTCTGGGCGACAGAGTGAGACTCCAACTCAAAAAATACCAAAACAAAACAAAAAAAACCAAAGTTATGGGTTGAAGGTTACTTTTTTTCAGTATGAGCTCAAGCCTAACTACTTGGTGAGCATTTACCTGCTGGCGTAGACTTGTGAAGTAGCAGAAATGTCCCAGATTTTACCACTTCTTCAGCTGCCATCTTTAAAATGCTGATGTGTATTATTTCAAACTGTGTGTGTAAATCGATGTGTCATTAGTGTTTTATACGAAACTATTTCATCTCTACACGATTCAAATTCACATGAAACATGACCAGACCATAAGGGCTTTTGAGTCTAACAAGCCTGACTTAAAACCTTGCCTCTACCACTGTGTCATCCTACAAGTCACCAAACCCTCAACACCTTGGTTTTCTGTTGGGCAGAATGAAAATAGCAAGCCCCACCTGCCTGGATCACTATGGAGCTCTCCAGGCAAAGGAGGCAACAGGAGTGCAAGCCTAAGGACCTGGAAGCCATTGGCAGTGGCGGGAGTGGGGAGGGCAGACTGGCAAAGGGGGAGGAGACTACAAAGGGGAGAGGTGGATGATGTGAACCCTGAAGGCCTCACTAAGGGAAACTGTAGTAGATTCTAAGTAGGCACAGTGAAGATGGAGTTGCAGGAATGCACCTGCCATGAAGTTTCACTTGCCAGGGGTGGGTGACTGTCTAAAACCCCACATGTCCTCAGTCCTTCTTAGTGACACCAGCCTTTTCTTGGAACCTGGGATACATCCTGCCTCTAAGCAAGTGTCCAAGGATATGCACAGAACTTACTGCAGCCACCTCTTTTCCAGAGAATTCTGGGAGTCTGCAGGGGGTAGACATAGACACTGGAAGGAGTCAGAGGACTAGGTTAGAGGCAACACTGTCTGACATGCTGGCTGTGAGACTTTAGGGAAGTTACCTGTCTTCTTTGAGCCTCACTTTGATCCTCTGTAAAATGAAGACAATTGTATGTACTTGGCAAGATGTTTCCAAGCATAAAATAACTCAACACCCATATTATAACTTGCAAAATTTCAGGCTTGTGGAAGATCTCAACAGTCTGCATTTGTCTTCACACTGAAGGAAAAAAAAATCAGGTATTAAAGATATTTAAAGATAATCTTATCCAGTCCCCACTCTAACAATGAGAAAACTGCAGGATAGAACTGAAAGCAGTCTGGGAGTTGGTATCTGGGATTTTTGACTCCCAATCTCGTGCTCCCACTGTTATCTCTTATTTGGCCATGCTGTTCCCTGAAGCTCTCACACTAGTCCCTGCTTCCAGCTTTATTTCCTCAGTTCTACCTCTTAAGAGATGTCCTTCACTCATGTATCTAACTTCTGTCCAACCCCTGCCCACTCTTGAGACTAGTTCAAGGACATTGTCCCAATTATTTCAAAGCTAATGAGATGCTCCTCCTGTGAAACTTTGGCACTTCTAGGTATTATGACACAGAGGATAAAGAACGGGATTTGGAGCCCAACAAATGTGATTTCACATTCCAGCTTGGTAACTTTTTGGTTTTGTGACCAAGAACAAAATTCTATATCTGACTCATCTTCTCATCTATAAAATGAGGCTAGCTGTGTGTGCGTCTATGTCATGAGGCATTGAGTGATTATGTGAAACAACGTGTGGATTGATGGGGGTATGTCTTAGTCTGTCCATGGTGATGTAACAAAATACCACAAAATGGGTAATTTATAAAGAACATAAATTTATTTTTCACAACTCTGGGGAATGAGGAAGTCTAAGATCAAAGCACCAAATGATCCAGTGTCTGGTGAAGGGCTTCTTCTTCATCCTCCATGGCAAAGAGGACACGTGCCATGTCCTCACACGGAAGAAGGGACAAATACTGTGTCCTCACATGGAAGAAGGGTAAAAGGGCCTAACTAGCTCCCTCTAGCCCTTTCATAAGGGCATTAATCCCACGTGTAAAGGGAAAGCTCTCATAATCTAATCACCATCTTCTAATACAGTCACCTTGAAGTTTAAGTTCTAAGATACAAATTTTGGAGGAACACATACATTCAAACCATAGCAGGGGACATGGATGATAGTGGATAATGCATACATGACCACTTTCTAATTTTTATTTTTCAAATTTTTGCAATTTATATCTATTTGTTCCAATCAGCAATTTACATTGGTTTTCCATTTATAAGTAAAAGATATCTTTTTCTTTTAAAGTAAATGTATTTTAAAATATATTGCTTTAAAGGTAAATATACTTACCTGATTTTAAAGTGAGGTGGCTTATTTTTTTAAAAATCTCCCACTGACAGAGTTGAACTTTTCCCTTTTTAATTCTCTCCAATTTAGCTTTGTATATTTTGAGACCATGTTCTTATGTGCATACAAGTTTAGCATCACTAGACCTCCCAGATGAAACAGACCTTTTTACAATGTGAAAGGAAATTAAACTATCTTTTAGCAAAGGAAAAAAAGAAGTAAGTGGACTTAAAATATATATTAAAAAATAGTAGCGGAGGCAATATGACAGTGATTGAAGTTTAAAGGACTTTCCAGGGATATTGACAGTGCCAATCTTAGGGCTGGCAGCAATAAGCATCACTGCTTCCACCATCCTTATTCCCCTCATCAGTGGCATTGTCTCTACTAGGAAGGAAACAGCCAGCCCCACTGACTCCCTCTGCAAGGTTTTCTGGAATTTTATCAGAAGAAAATAAAAAGTGGCCGCTTCTGAAAATTAGTTGAAGGAATAACAAAAGATAATGTCCAGACAGTCATTGTATCAGTGAGGATCTCTCCTCTCTGTCCGGATTCCTTCTCTCTAAGTTGATGGTTCTCAACTGGTGGTGATATCACACACACACACACACACACACACACACACACACACACACACACATCCTCACCCAGCACCATTGGTGTGTGTGTATGGTTGTAAGGATGGAGGATTCCTACTGGTATCTAGTGGACAGAGACTAGGGAAACTGCCTACAATGCACAGGACAATCCCCTACAACCGAAAAATTTCCAACCCCAAATGTCAATAGCATGAGGCTAAGAAACCTGCTCTAAGCCAAGCAAGGCATCACCTGGTGGCATCTTCCTGAACAGATTTAATCTAACATACTTCTGTGAAGACTTTTTGTGACTTTCAGATTAATGGAGTTTCAAATAGTGTCAAATTGACTGGACTGACTAAATAACTGCCTACTTGATGAAGAAGACAAAACTCTTTGGACAGTTTCCGACTACCTCCAAACTTTTTATCTCTGGGGAAAGAAAAATATGAGCATAGATCCATGAGCCCTGAGTCTTTAGGGAGCAAGACTGTGGCCAAACTGGGATTCTAACTTTCATCCATTTCTCCTCACTGACCCAGGTTAAATTCTCACACCCCCATCATGATGAAGTGCTGGGTGAAAGTGGTGGTAGTTTTTGGCTACCAGTGTAGGTCTCCCACACAATCATCATTATCTCCCTAAGCATATTTTTTAAGTTGAGGTTTCTAGACCAACAGCTTCAAAACTAGCTGGGGAACTCACTAAAAATGCTTACTTCAGAGTTTCACTCCGGACTGACTGGATCAGAATTGAGTGAGAGCACAGAGATCAGAAAGTTTACAGAGCCCATATTTCAAATGATTCTGATGCTGATGGTCTGGGAGAACCCTTGTTTGTTCTCAGTTACAAACTCCTTGAGTTAGGGGTCTTTTTCATGTTTTCACTTCTTTCCACTAGTGCTTTATCTCAAGAAATGTCAGAGCAAACATGCAATCTAAATAAAACAGAATGCTTCATATGTAAAGACAACTTCAAAATAAGTCCCCAAATCTGTCCAGCCCCAGCTGAATGCCAAGGTTAAAGATGGCCAATGTCAAACACCAAGGCTATCCCAACATCCCTTTTATTTTCTTCAGGAGCTACCACATAGATCTGGCACATAACAGGTTCTAGAAACATGTGCATGCAATTGAATTTGCATGCATACCCATTGTCTTCCTGTCGCCTCCTGGCTTTAGCTCAGTGAGTGGGTAGTGGCAGTGTTTGCCTTAACCCTGCTTCTCTTCCTTATTTATAGGGAGCCATGCTCTGGACACCCCACAACTTCCACGGGAGCTGCCTCCAGGACTCTCAAACAATATCAGTAAGGATTCTTTGAAGTTGTCTTAAGATCTGGGTAGAAAGTCATCTAGGATCTTGGCAGAGAAAATGACTCCTTCTGAATGCACCCTAGAGGCACTCACTCCTGTGGGGTATTTGTAAGTAAAGTGATTTCAGTGAGACTCAAAAGCATATCCCCAACAGTTTCTCTTGGCGTCTGACCCACCATTGGTCTCTCCCTTAAGATGAAGTCTCAAAATTTCCATCAAAAGGCCAAAATCAACTGAAAAGAGAAATCAGGAAAAGGCAGTCAATGGGCTGATCATAAGGGTTATATGGTGACTGTATCTCAGTTTCAAATTCAGCTTTGGGCTTCCTAGAAGGCAAGACAAAGAGGACAGATGATATATTGCTTACTCTGGTGGTTAAAAAGAAAAGCAGGATCCATAGTTCTTGGGGAGGCGAAAGTTTTTCTGGTGACAGATTATACAGATATCTCAAGTGGGTTATTTTATGGGCATGGCCAAAGAACGTAATGCCGAGTGAATTAACTGGTGATACCAGCCCTGAATCAAGAGTTCATCTTTGATCTTTTAGAGGTTAGTTGGGTCAACCAAATTATTTATGCATGAACCCATGCAAACAAAGTGATCTGTCTCACTCAGATCCAAATGACAAGTGGACTCTCTCCACATGGCATAACTCCCATGGAAAGCATCATGCCCACCAGGAGAACTTCTTCAAGCATACATTTATTTATTTATTTATTTATTTATTTATTTATTTATTTATTTATTTATTTATTATAAAGATGTGGGATACAATTCAGGGTTAGGTTTGCAAACGTTGATTATGCAGGTACCCTTGTTGATGAGGTATGCCCCTCCTTCTCCTGGCAGTTCCCTTGACTGCCAATCCCAGCCCCCTCCCATGACAGTTTCCCACTACTGCCAATGGCTTTCTTCTAGTGTTGTAAGTGTTCAAGTTCTGCTTATGAGTAAGAACATATGGTACTCTGTTCTTTGTTTCTGTGATAGATCACTGAGTATGATTGACTCTAAATCCATCCAAGTTGCTGCAAGGTCCATATGTTTGTCCTTCTTTATGGCTGCAAAATATTCCATTGTGTATATGGACCACATTTGTTTTATCCAGTCCAGCTTCAATGTGCAACACAGTTGGTTCTCAAGCATGCATTTTGATTCACAGCTCACACTTGGCACTTAGAAGGATCAAGGCTAGGAAACCCAGCATACCAGCAAGTCTCAGCAGCTATTGCTTTGCCACAAGAGTAGCCACAAGAGCTACACAGCAGCCCAAAAGACCTAACAACAGCTCAGGTGCAAGGGAGTGGTACTGACATGCCACCACAGGACCATTCCTGGCTTTGAAGCTTTGTTCTCTGTAGGAATCAGCATCTCTAGCAACAACATCATACGTATAATTTCTAGGACACACAGTAGAGACATGGCCCTTTATAAGAGTTATCACATGGAACAAGACCCAAGACAATGACTTCCTACCCAGCATTTGCAGTTCATTCAAATTCCTCCCAGCTTAGATGTACCTTGCCATCCAGGGGTTCCTTTTACCATTGGTCAGTGTTGCCTGTCACACAATTCACATTTTATCTTTGTCAGGTGTCTGTGGTAACCTGCATTACAATAAAATTAGCCCAAGGATAAATCTGCCCTTCGAGAAGGAAGACAAGTTTTACACACCCTTTACCCAGAGGTGGGCAGGAAGAGGGAAAGGGGGAGAAACCAAGATTCTTTATTTTTTTTTGTCTTTCTTTCACTTAGATATTACACTCTTCAATGGGATGTTTAAAAATGTGGAAAGTGTGACCGAAATTTTTGGTAAGTTACATCTGAAATTAATTTTATCTACCAAGTGTCAGGGCATGGAGTAAGTATGGGAACTGTTAAGAAATTACCTGGTATCGGCCCTTGGAGGTCCCATGGTCTCACCAGCCAACTCCCAACAGTGTGACCTGGGTTCAGATGAGAGTACTGATGCCTTCCATTACCGAGTGAGTCACTGAGCTGTCATGTGACTTCATATTCCTAAATTCACTAGTACTGGCTACAAACTTGCTAGGAAGGGAACGATATCCCCATTTTACGGGTAAGGTCGCTGAGCCTAAGGGAGCTGACCCAGGACCACACAGCTAGAAGGAAGGGTTCTCTTCTGAGTCCAGAGCTTTGTCCCATACACCAAAGTAGTTTTATTTTTCCTCCCTGATTAGTAAATATAAAGTTTAAGAATCTCAAAGGGTGTCAAGTATTCCATTGATGAGTTACAAATCTATTATGTGGCTCCCAGACACTGTGATGGTTCCTAGCATCAATTATTGAAAGTACCCCCAAAATGAGACTATAATAGGACTGAGAAGAGCGCTCAGAACTGCTGATGGATTAGACAACCCAGAACATAGGCTGCACTTAAAGTGTATATACGACTAGGCACAGGCCCCCTGTACATTTTTCCATGGAAAGGCCTATTTACAAAAATATATACTTCCTAAACCTTAGAGTGACTTTTTTAATCATCAAGGAATCATTGCTTCATTTTTCTAATTACACTTTGTGGGAACAAAACCTGGGAAAGGAAGTCTGAATGAAGTGAGAAGAAATTAGACCAGTCCGAGGTAGAAGGTATCCTCATTGGCTTTTCCTAATACTCCTAAGTTCCATCTTGTGATCCTGTTCATTTTACTTTTTACTTTTTTGGAGTCAAGGGGTACATGTGGAGGTTTGTCACATAGCTACACAGCATGATGGTGAGGTTTGGGCTTCTTCTGGACCCATCACCCAGGCAGTGACATGGTTCCCAGTGGGTGATTGTTCAACTCTTGCTCCTTCTCTCCCCACCCCCACCCTGTTTAGGAGCTCCCAGTATCAGTTGTTCCCATCTTTATGGCTGTGTGCATTCAGTGTTTTACTCCCACTTATAAGTGAGAACATGTGGTTTTCCATTTTCTGTTTCTGTGATTATTCGCTTAAAATGATGGTCTCCAGTTGCATCCCTGTGGCTGCAAAGGACGTGATTCTGTTCTTCTTTATGGCTGCGTAGTGTTTGATGATGCTTATGTACCACATTTTCCTTATCCAGTTCATCATTGACGGGCACCTAGGTTTTTTCATGTTTTTGTTATGGTGGCTAATGCTGCGATAAACATGCAGGTACAAGTGTCTTTTTGGCAGATTTGTATTCCTTTGGGTCTATACACAGCAGTGGGATTGCTTGGTTGACAGTAAATTTATTTTTAGTTCTTTGAGAAATCTCCAATCTACTTCTCACAGGGTTTGAACTAGTTCACACTCCTGCCAACAGCGCTGGAGCATACCCTGTTCTCTGCAACCTCACCAATACCTGTTGTTTTTTGATTTTTTAATAATAGCCATTCTGACTGGTGCGAGGTGGTATCTCATTGTGGTTTTGATTTGCATTCCTCTGATGATTAGTGATGTTGAACATTTTTTCATATGTCTGTTGGCTGCTTGTATGTCTTCCTTCGAGAAGTGTCTGTTCATGTCTTTTGCCCACTTCTTAAAGGGGTTATTTTTTCCCCTGTCCATTCATTTGAGTTCTTTATAGATTCTGAAGTTTAGGGTCACCCCATGCAGAACTCATGGGTCCTCCCATCAGAAAAGCAGAGACTGAGGAGGATGAGCATAAAGCTTAGAGTCAGAAACTGTCAATATTGTTTTCTTGACAATTTTGTTTGCTGTTTACTGTAGGGTAAATCATTATTCCTAGTTAACACCTTGGGCATGTCTCTGACCTTCCGTTTCTTTACTGTGAAACGTAAAGTAAGTTGTTTACTGTGAAATGGAGGCAACACATTATCATCTGTCTTGCAGCATTAGTAGGAGGATTATGGAATAACAGGCAAAGCAAACATTTCCCAACATATTACACACAGAAAGTGAACTAGGTGCTTTCACTCGCACTTTTTACTATGACCAGCTGAGAATGATCATGAAACATCCCCAAGGACTTGGGGGGAAGGCTCGCCTTCCGCGAGAACTTTTCAGTTTTGTTATTAAGAAAGAAGGGATAAATAGCTGTTAGATGGGTAAAAAACAGGGACCATGGATTAGAACCTGTCTTTTCTGAATTATCTCGAACAGTCCTGAGTACACATGAGGTACTTACTAGATTGATGAGACACCATCAGTCTGAGGTGTGGAAAGTGCAGGGAGCCTTTCTAGACTCTGTTTCTCAGTGCTCACCAGGTCCTGTCCACCTTACCTTCCTCCTCCCACAGACTGCCTTGGCTCCCACTTCACCTGGCTGCAGGCTGTCTTCACCAATTTCCCTGTGCTGCTCCAATTTGTGAATGGTATGAAGTGTGTGGCTGGTCTCTGCCCCCGGGACTTTGAAGACTATGGCTGTGCCTGCAGATTTGAGATGGAAGGGCAGCCCGTGGATGAATCTGACAGGTGAGCAAGGTCCATAGGTGAGCAAGGTGAGCTCATGGGAGGCTGGTTGATACCTTGGACAGATCACAAATAGAGAAAAGACCCTGGAATTGGGACTCAGAAGAGGTCTTAGTTCCACTTCACACCCGTTGGGTGACTGGTCACCTCATCTCTACATAACAGTATAATTTGTGACCGGCTCTTGTTCTAGGAATTTATCGAGGTCCCATGTTGTGTCCAACATGCAAAACTTCATTTTAGTGTTTCTCAAGGTTGGCTCCTTCCATCAGAACCACCAGGATATTTGTTAAAATGCAGATTCCTGAAATCCATCGCAGACCTGCTGACTCAGAATACATTTGGGTAGAAACTAAAAGTCTGAATTTTAAATAAACTCTCTAGGCGACTCTTCTCTTAATAACATTTGAGAATTATATTTAATTTGGAGCAGTCCTTGCTAAAAGGAGTAACACAACTCTGTATGTTTCTGTTCGGTTCTCAACAAACATGAGCCAAATACCAATAATACATGAACACTGTGTTTCAAATAAAGAGCACACTATTCCTGCTTTAAAGAGGTAAATGTCTAGCAGGGAATATAGAGGAAAATATAAGTGACCAATAAAGATAAGCTCCCTCCCTACATACAAGTGAAATGTCATTTAAAATAAGATGTCAACCTTTATCCATCAGAATGGCAGTAAAATTTAAAATCTAGGCCAGGTACGATGGCTCACATCTGCAATCCCCATTGGAAGGCAAAGACAGGAGAATAGCTTGAGACCAGGAGTTTCACACCAGCCTATGCAACATAGCAAGACCTTGTCTCCACAAAAGATTTTTTAAAAAATCAGCTTGTGGTGACACACACCTTAGTCCCAGCTACTCAGGAGGCTGAGGTGGAAGGATTACCTGAGCCCAGAAAGTCAAAGCTGCAGTGAGTCATGATCATGCCACTGCATTCTAGCCTGGGTGACGGAGTGAGACCCTGACTCAAAAAAATAATAATAAAAAAATTTAAATCTAGAAGCATTAACTGCTAGTAAGAATATGACAAGCAGGACTTCAAATCTGAACCAGTTAGGGATATTTGGTGCTATCTTTTCAAGTGTTAAGGCATATTCTCCATGATCCAGTAAGCCCAATTCTCTGCTCTTTATTTAGTCTGTGATCTTAGGTAAGTTATGTTACCTCTTTATGCTTCAATTTCTTCATCTTAAAATAAAGATAATAATAATAATACCTCCATCATGGAATCATGGAATTACTGTTTTCAATTAAATGACTGAGTTCAAGTTAAAATGGCTGGAACTCTACCTGACTTATTAAGTATTCAAGGGTGTTAGTGATTGGTAGCAGCAGTATCCGTAGTAATAGCAGCAGCAGTAACAGTAACCACAGTAGTAGGGCTATAACAAGTAGTGGTAACAGTAGCAGTGTAGCTGTAGAAGTATTAGTAATAGTAGTCATAATATCAACAGCGGCAGCAGCAATAGTAGTAGTAGTAACTTAGTAGTATTTCTCTAGTAATATTATTTTAGTAGTTTAGTTCTAGTATAACAGCAGTAATTGTAGCTGTAGTAACAACAACAGCAGCAAGTCGTAGGAATTTGAACCTGGGCTTCAACTCTACTCCATGAACCATGTCCCGCCCCACTGGTGTTATGCTTGTGCCCAAATCCAGTGTGGTGGAGTGTGTGCTTTCATCTACACAGACTCACAGAAGGAAGGGAAGAACCCCCCTTTGTAATGTGTTGGACAGCTCATGTCTGCCTGGGCATTTCTACTCCAGGACACTCTCATTAGACGTCTTGACTCCTGGGCACCAGGGCAATCTCTGTGCTCCCAGACACCTGTGCTCGTCTTTCTTGCACCTGCTACACAGGCGAATGTGTATACAAAGGGTCTGTCTTTCTCCATTCAACATCCTGTATGGAGGGTCTGTATTATGTTGTTTCTCCCAGCACTGACTATAGTACCTGGTACATAGTAGGAGCTCCATAAATTAACTGATTGACTAAGTGGTCAACTTCTAACTGCTTTTCAGAGTTTAAAAATGAATAAACAAGTTAATTTAAAAGGGTTATATCTTGGGTTGACAAAGAATAAGGACTGTGGAAGTAAACAATAAACATGTCCCAACTTTAAGCCCGCAAGGCAGGGTATAAGCAGCCTCTGGACCAAGGGGACGATTTCTCATAGGAGGGCTCATGGGCAGACCAGCTCCTGGAGCAAGCTTCTTGACATTCAGAAGTGGAGAGACTGGGACAAGGGCCATTTCTGAGAACATGTTTTCTTCTTGGGTCCCCCCTTACAACTTCCTTTAATTATTAAAGCACCTTATAAATATGGAAGTCAATAAATAAATAAAGCAGTAATTCATCACTGTCTCCAACACAATACCCAGATTGACAGAATGGTAGGTTGCACTCAATTTAAATTCCTTTACACAGTCCAGCTGATGGGGGTGGAGATTTCCACACTCCTGGAGGACATGTTGATTCCACCTTGAACTTGCACACCAGATTTCAAAAACAATCGCTAGCATTTACTGAGTGTCTGCCATATGATAGATCTTTATAGAAATTTTTTTGAATTCAAAAAATTTTTATGAGTTAGGTAGTGTGAGAAATTTAGCAGCTGGCCAAGGTCATCAGCTGCCTCTCTATATTTTTTCTTCTTCTTAGTCTCCACTGACCTGTCCTCAATGCAAGAGCCACCTTACCGCCCATGTTCAGTGTCAGCTTGTTCTGTGACCAATCTTGACCTTGGGCAAGTTACAGAGCCTGTGTGTCTATGTCCACATATGGAAATGCTCTTGATAATAATTGCACCTGCTGCATAGGACCCATGTGAGAGTTAAGTTAGTTAATATTTGTAAAGTGCTTAAGGCAGAGGCTGATACAAAGCTAGCTGCTATAACAAAAGCAGTGGTCATAGTTTCATTTTTCTTATTGAGGAAGGAAGAGTTAAGGTGACTGATCTCAGAAGATCCTTTGACAGCATATTTCAGGCCCTGCTCTGCCCTGCAGTTCCCATCATAGTCTCCCTGGCTCCTGTCTTGTCCTTCACCTTACTTTCTACCCCAGGTCCAGTACTGGGGTCCTACCTGACCCCAGACCTGAGATTCTCCATCCACAGCAGACTCAGTCCACCCTTCCTCCATGGCCTTGTCTGCTTCCAGGGGATGAGGCTTTGCTCAGGAATCTCAGCCTCCTTAGTCTTCCCTGTCCTCAGACTCCCATGCCTGATTCCTGCATCAGCCTCCAGGCAGAAGTGTTGTATCCCAAGGGGATGACCATTCACAAACAAGCAAAGAAAAAAAGGCACGAACAAACAAAAACAGAGGCAACGGAAAAAGAACAGAGTATAGAGACAGTACTCCTGGCTTCAAGCCCAACTTACCTGCTGCCTTAAGAAAGGCAATATTTTAGAGAAAGGCTTTGGAAACTGACTGTCTGTCGGTGACCAGCACTGACCAAGGGTGGGTTAGGACCCGCACCAGAGAATCAGGAGACGGCGAGAAGACCACTCGGAGGCAGTTCTTCTGGGAACAGTCTGATCAGGACTGGAGCCAAATTTTATTCGGATTCCTTCCAACTTATATACCATTTTCTATACCCTCCAGCAGTGTGATAATCACTTGCTAGGGGCGTACAAGTTCCGTGCTTTACAAACTATGCATCACAAGACCACCACGAGATCTGCAATTTCCAAGCAAACAATTCGAATTCCATGATGCCTGCCGTGCTTACATTAAGGTCACAGGTGCACAATTTCAATACAAATCGTTCAAAGTGTTTTCCATAATGTTCAATGAATCATTCATATTATACTCTTTGCTCTATACCCTGATTAATACAAAAAACTTTCCTGAGTTAACTCTAGGTTCAATCCAAGTTCACTGACTCCTAATATTTTTAACGATTAATATTATCAACTTAACACTATACTATAATCTATAAGTTTA